ATACAAAAAAATTAGCTGGGCATGGTGGCAGGCACCTGTAATCCCAACTACTCAGGAGGCTGAGGCAGGAAAATCGCTTGAACCCGGAAAGTGGATTTTGCAGTGAGCCAAGATTGTGCCACTGTACTCCAGTCTAGGCAGCAGAGAGAGACTCCATTTCAAAAAAAAAGGCCAGGTGCGGTGACTCATGCCTGTAATCCCAGCACTTTGGGAGGCCAAGGCGGATGAAACACAAGGTCAGGAGTTCAAGACCAGCTTGACCAATGTGGTGAAACCCCTGTCTCTACTAAAAATACAAAAATTAGCCAGGCATGGTGGCGCACACCTGTAATCCGTTACTTGGGAGGCTGAGGCAGGAGAATCGCTTGAACCAGGGAGATGAAGGCTGTGATGAGCCGGGATCGCGCCGCTGTACTCCAGCCTGGGCAACAAAAGCAAGACTTTGTCTCAAAAAAAAAAAAAAAAAAAAAAAGAGAGAGAAAGAAAAAAGGCTGTGCGCAGTGGCTCACGCCTATAATCCCAGCATTTTGAGAGGCCGAAGGGGGCAGATCACAAGGTCAGAAGTTCAAGGCCAGTCTGACCAACATGGTGAAACCCCCTCTCTACTAAAAATACAAAAATTAGCCGGTCATCGTGGGGCGTACCTGTAATCCCAGCTACTCGGGAGGCTGAGGCAGGAGAATCACATGATCCCAGGGGGCGGAGGTTACAGTCAGCCTAGATTACACCACTGTACGCCAGCCTGGGCAACAGAGTAAAACTCCTTCTCAAAAAAAAAAAAAGAAAGAAAGAAAATTCACTAGGTCCGGCCCACACTCAAAGGAAGGGGACCATGCAAGAGCGGGAAGAGCTGGAGACAGGGGTCCCTGGGGCCATCTGCAAGGCTGCCTCCCACAGGCAAGTATGTCCAGCCATGTCAGGGACTTAGAGTGGACCCATCTCCTGCCCTGTCCCCAGGGGAGACAGAACCAGGCATGGACACCCCAGGGGCTCCTGGGAGCAGAGCTGAAGAGGAAGGGATGGGCCCGGGTGAACCCAAGAAGGAACGACAGCCTTCCGCCTAACAAACATGTCCTGCACTACTGCTATATGCCAGTCCTGAGGGGCACAGGGCCACAGGTGCCAAGACCAACGCAGTCTCCTTCTGTGCCCCTATGGCGCCCACCACCTAGAAAGAGGCCCAAGACTAAAAGGCAAGAAAACAGCCCAGATGTGGTGGTTCACACCTGTCATCCTACCACTTTGGGAGGCTGAGGCAGGAGGATTCCTTGAGCCCAGGAGTTCAAGACCAGCCTGGGCAACATAGCGAGACCTCTCCTCTACAAAAAATAAAGAAAATCTGCCTGGTATGGTGGCGTGCACCTGCTGTCCCAGCTACTTGGGCGGCCGATGTGGGAGGATCACTGGAGCCTGGGAAGTTGAGGCTGCAGTGAGCTATGATCATACCACTGCACTCCAGCCTGGGTGACAGAGTGAGACCTTATCAAAAACACAAAAACTTCTAATCCCAAAGCAAGGAAAGAAAAGAAAAACACAACACTAAAAATGCAGGGTTAAAATGAGTTAACTATTTTTTTGTTTTGTTTTGCTTTTTTGAAACAGAGTTTTGATCTTGTTGCCCAGGCTGGAGTGTAGTGGCGCAATCTTGGCTCACTGCAACCTCTGCCTCCCGGGTCCCAGCGATTCTCCTGCCTCAGCCTCCCAAGTAGCTAGGGTTACAGGCACGTGCCACCACACCCAGCTAATTTTTGTATTTTTAATAGAGACGAGGTTTCCATGTTGGCCAGTCTGGTCTCAAAACCTCAGGTGATCCGCCCACATTGGCCCCTCAAAGTACTGGGATTACAGGCGTGAGCCACTGGGCCTGGCCAAGTCAAATCTTTATTGAAGTAGAAACAAAATGATCAGAAAATAAGGACCAGTCAGAGGCCAAAATGTCATTGTAGTCCCAGGATGGGGACAGCTTAGGTGTCAGACAAGGCAGGTTTGAATCTGATAAAAACTCAAATGATGCCCATTCAACATAAAGGTGAACTGGAAATCAAAATAAGATCTTCCTTTTTTTCTTTTTTTTTCTCCAAGACAGAGTCTCACCGTGTTGCTCAGGCTAGATAAAGTACAATGGCACGATCTCAACTCACTGCAACCTCCGCCTCCCAGGTTGAAGCAATTCTTCTGCCTCAGCCTCCCGAGTAGCTGGGATTACAGGCACCCACCACTATGCCTGGCTAATTTTTGAATTTTTAGTAGAGACGGGGTTTCACCGTGTTGGCCAAGCTGGTCTCGAACTCCTGACCTCGTGATCTGCCTGCCTTGGCCTCCCAAAGTGCTGGAATTACAGGCATGAGCCACTGTGCCCAGCCAAGATCTTTCCTTAACATACACACCCCAGGAACTGAAAGGAAGGTTGGTATCTCAGAGCCTTTGCTGTTTAGGAGGAAGGGGTGAAATCTCTGTGGTGACTCATAACCTCACATGAGCTGGCAACTCCAACCACCCCATCTGGGTGTCTGAAAGTCCTCAAGTAGACAACATGGATGAAAGCGGTCCAAGCTGGGCGCAGTAATCCCAGCACTTTGAGAGGCTGAAGCGGGAGGATCGCTGAGGCCAGGAGTTCGAGACTAGCCTGGGCAACATGACAAAACCACGACGCTGCAAAAAAAATGCAAAAATCTGCCCGGTATGGTGGTGTGCACCTGTCGCCCCAGCTACTCAGGAGGCTGGGGTAGGAGGACTGCTTAACGCCAGGAGTTCCAGACCAGACTGGGTAACATACCAAGACCCCATCTCTATAGAAAACAATCTTGTAAGTATCCAGGAGCGGTGGCCAGTGCTTGTAGTCCCGGCTAGTTAGGAGGCCAAGGTGAGAGAATTGCATAAGCCAGGGAGTTGGAGGCTGGTGCAGCTTGGGCAACAGAGGGGAGACCCTGTTTCAGAGAAAAAAAGGGGCCAGGCACGGTGGCTCATGCCTGTAATCCCAGCACTTTGGGAGGCTGAGGTGGATGGATCACCTGAGGTCAGGAGTTTGAGACTAGCTTGATCAACATAGTGAAACCCCATCTCTATTAAAAACACAAAAATTAGCCGGGCACGGTGGCATGTGCCTGTAGTTCCAGCTACTTGGGAGGCTGAGGCAGGAGAATCGCTGAACCCAGGAGGTGGAGGTTGCAGTGAGCCGAGATCGTGCCACTGCACTCCAGCCCAGGCCACAGAGCGAGTCTCTGTCTCAAATAAACAAACAGGGAATAGCCAAGAGGCAAGTGCAGCTGGAAGGGTGACTAGAAGGAAGCAGGCAGAGGCTGAGACATCATCAAGGACCTCAATTCTGAGGGCAGCAAGGAGCTATGAGAGGGTGCTGAGCAGGAAAATTCAGCAAAGACTCCCAGAGGGAGGGCCCGCCCCGGCTAAAAGGGGCCCAGTATGTCCTGGGCAGCTTCAGCTCGACATTGCAGCAAGTCTTTCTGGGGACCAGGTGAATATATGGAGGGGGGCAGTGGTGAGCGGGTAGGGAACAGATGGTAGGACCTTCGGCGCCCAGCTAGGGGCTGAGTCTTCCTTCTGCAGAGGATGGGCTGGCCACTGGAAAATGTGAGAGCAGAGGGCACAGGCAGATTTCCACATCAAAACAACCGAGGGGCCAAGGCCCAGGGCCATGGCGTAGGGAAGAAGGGGTGAGTTTTAGAAAGTGCAGAACTGGGCGGGCGCAGTGGCTCAGACCTGTAATCTCAGCGCTTTGGGAGGCCAAAGCAGATGGATCACAAGGTCAAGAGATCAAGACCAGCCTGGCCAACATGGTGAAACTCGTCTCTACTAAAAACACAAAAATTAGCTGGGTGTGGTGGTGCACACCTGTAGTCCCAGCTACTCGGGAGGCTGAGGCAGGAGAATCGTTTGAACCCAGGAGGCAGAGGTTGCAGTGAGCCGAGTACCACTGCACTGCAGCCTGGCAACAGAGCAAGACTCCATCTCAAAAAAAAGGAAAGTTCAGAACCAGTCAACTTACAGGGGGATCCTTCCCATCTCCACACCCTCTGCGCCCTCTTACAATGGGTCTGTCCCTCTTGCAAGTCCATCTTACAGGGAGCGATGACGGTGCTGAGCCCTGCCCCCACTCAGCCGGTGCTCACCTGCTCCCACGTGGGGCTGTTCCTGAGATCTGCTCTGATAGGAACTTCCAGCAATGCTTCACCCCAGAAGGACCCTCAACGGCTCATTTGATTAAGCCCCTCAGAGGCACTGCAGAAACCCTCCAAGCATACTTGCCCAGGACACCAGAATCTGCCCCCCTAGCCTCAACCCAGTGTCCCAGTCTCCAGAAGAGACCTCCAATCAAGTCCTGGAATACACAGCAGCCTCCCTACACACTCTGAACAACTCCCAAACCCAAAGTCCCACACACACGCGAAACTCTCAAACAGTACCCCAGCTGTAAACGGTCCCGAGGAACGACACACCTTCAGAGACCCTGTAAGTCCTTTATAGATTTCCTAAACAGCTCGCTCATCCCTCAGAGAAAGCCCTAGATAGATCCAAAATGTCTTGGCAGTCCCCACAGACTATCTATTGGGTCATCCCTGTGAGCCCCGGTGACCCACTGGAGAGCCCCCGAAGTCTCTCACAGTCATCAAGGCTCCAAAGAGACACCCACACCGCCACAGCTTTCCAATCAGCCCCAGCTCCCTGGAACTTCCACCAGCTGCCCAGAGACCCCCAAGTTGCCCCCAAACACCCTGAGATCTAAGCAGCCTGCAACACCCTAAGACCCTGGAGGCTACTCGTCTCCCCCGAGAAACCCTTAAAGTGTCCCCTGCAGTCCGCTCAGGGCCCCGCAACTGGTCACTCTCTCAGGCCGCGTCCCCGCCCCGCCCCCAAACTACAAAGCACCCCCAACTCTCCGGACCCTCCAAGATGTCCCTGCAATCCAGCCCCCCCACGGCACGCCCTAGAGCCCTCAGCCCCGCCCCCAGCCCTGGCCCTGGCCGGATACCCTCAACACTCACAAGAGGTCTCGCCTAGCCGTCTTGCAGACGATGCGCAGGAAGCGCCAGCCGCCGCTGCCGACGTACACGCCGAGAGCCGCTGCCGCGCTCCAGGTCCAAGGCAACCCCAGCAGCCACAACAGCGCCAGCGAGACCACCGAGGCCGTGCCCGCACCCGGAGCCCACATCCTGGGGAGGCAGACAGCGCTGAGGCCGCGGGCCTCTCAGGCTCCGCCCCACCGCCGGCCCCGCCCCATCCCTACGGTAAGCCCCGCCCCCAGGACTCGCTCCTTCCCCCGCGAGTCCGGGAAGCGCGCTGAGTCAGACTCCGCCCCCAGGCCTGGGATTGGTCAGGTCCTCAGGTCAGGCACCGCCCCCTTTCCAGTTCTAGTTAACGCCCCCTAACTAGAACCAGACCCCGCTCCCAGGCCTTGAATTGCCCAGGTTCCGGCCAGGCTCCGCCCCCGAACCTTGGCTCGGCTCTATCACATATTTTTGAGCCCATCCTTCCCTGCCAATCTTACAACAGGCCCCGCCCCCAGAGTCAGCTTGTCCACTCGTCGGTCACTGCCAGGCCTCGCCACGTGCCTTCACCTAGCCTCTAACCTCAATTCCCGAATTCCCCTTCACGTTCTGTGCCCTTTCCTCCTGGTCCTGTCTCTACCCAGTGGCCTTCTCGCTGGTCACTGGGCCCCGCCCTCAGTTTGGCTCCTAGCCCCACGCACAGGCAGAAGACCTCTCCCTCAGAGTCCCGCCCCTCTTAGCCAGGCTCCACCCCTAGGTTAAATCCATGGTCCCCCACCCACACACACCCCGCCCTCCCGGAACTAGACCCCGCCCGCGTCCGTTCAAGCCCCACCCCAGTCCCGGGCCTGGACCACGTTCTTGGGCTCAAATACTATCCTGGCCACGGGCCCAGCCCTCAGGCTTCGGCCGCGTCACCACCTCCTGGATTTCACTCCGGCTCAGCCCGCAGAGCCGAGGAGGACCCTCTTCCAGAAGCCACGACCATAGAGAGGCAACTGGGCCAGAGAGGCAACGGCCAACGAGATGTGGGGACTAGAACGGCGCGCCGGGGACGGCCGCTGTCTCCATGACGACCAAGCCTTGCCCCGCCTCCTCTAAGAAAACGCGTGCGTCTTGCAGCTGTGGGGCGTGGCTCACAAGATCGCAGGACCCGAGCCCTAGATGGCGTGCAGGATACCTACCCCCGGGGATGAAAAATATCCCAGTCCACACCCACTGCCCGCTGGGCTGGATTCTTGCCCCAGTTTGTCCTAAATCCAAGCCCCAAAGCCTCTTTCGGTCTTAAAAACACATTTCAGAGCCCCGGGGAGTGCTCAACTCAAAACTTGGAGCCTCAGATGTTTCTAGTTGTAAGTCCCGCCGCGGTCTTAAACGTATAATTTAAGGACACAGCTAATTCTTAATCCATGTCCCGAAGCCTAGTCGGTTAAGCCTGAACGTCACACCCCAAGATCCCAGGGAGGACAAAATCCACACGCCAGGTCCCCATCCTTCCTAGAAGCACCCACAGGCCCTTTACTTGCACCCCAGGGTCCTAGATGCTCCCCCCAGCGTGGGCCAGCGCTGCCGTGGGGGCACCCCCCACCCTGTTCTCTGGCTGACCTTAAGCTGCAAGCGGTGCCTTCAGTCTCCCAGAAGCTCAGGCAGGAGGCAGGCAGGGACTAGGGGTCTGAGGCCGGGAACCTTTCTGTTTCTGCAGACTCTTGGGTGCGCTGTGCCCACTATGCGGGCTTCTCCTTTGCGGTTCTTCTCTTCCAGCTCCCCCTCCTCTGCCCCACTGCCGACTCCACCACTGCTTGTTTTCTGCCCTGCTTGGCCGACCTTTCCAGCGTTCTCCTTGGGAGGCCGCCCAGGGCCTGCTTCCAATGCATTTGGAAGACAGGGCTGGGCAGGCGCTCACCCACTACGCTGCCATTGGTCCCTGGCAGCTGGGTGGCTGGAATGGGGGACCACGAGGAAGATCCAGAGGACAGGCCCAGAGCCAGCCACTGGCCTGTCGCTTTCTGGGCCTGGAAGAGTCAGCAATGACCAATAACTATAGCTGCACTCTTTTTTTTTTTTTTTTTTT